AAGAGTGGTCAAGCATTGGAACAGGCTGCCCAGAGAGGTGGGGGAGTCCCCATCCCTGGAGGGGTGCAAAAAACGGGCAGAGGTGGCACTTGGGGACATGGTTTAGTGGGCATGGGGGTGTTGGGTTGGTGGTTGGACTGATGATCTTAGAGGGCCTTCCCAATCTTAATGATTCCTAGTTTTTACTTTCATTAAAAATCATCCAGCCACCCAGCCAGGAAACACAAAATTGCTACTCTCCCATGAATTGGTTTAGTGGTGGACTTGGCAGCGTTGGGTTACTGGTTGGACTGGATGATCTTAAAGGGCTTTTCCAACCTCAACAATTCCATGATTGTATGAGTGCGGCCCAGCACGGTCCCCCAGCCCCCAGTTCCCCTGCTAACAGCTGCCTTGCAGCTGCGGAGATGCGTGGACACCTACAAGTACATCTTCGTCTTCTCCGTTGCCAACATGAGGAACAACAAGCTGAAGGACGTCCGGAATGCCTGGAAGCATAGCAGGTGAGCCGGGGCGGCAGCAGGGGGGACACTGCCCGAGCGGTGAGCACAGCCTGGGAGCTGACCGCTGCCACCTCCTCCTCTTCCTCCTCCCACCAGGATCTTCTTCGGGAAGAACAAAGTCATGATGGTGGCACTGGGACGCGAGCCGAGCAGCGAGTACAAGGAGAATCTGCACAAGGTAGGAGCTGTTGTGGTTTGGGTTTTTTTTTTTTTTTTGCTGTGTCCCCCAAAGCTTCGCCTCATGGAATAAACCTCAAGGGACAACAGAGCTTCCTCGGGTCACCCATCTGCGGGTGTTTGAATTGAATCAGTCTGTGTCACGACACAAAAGCGCTGTTAGCGGAGCTTTCATAGCTGTACAGGTCTGAACTCTAGAAGAAAAGGCCCTGGGTGCTGCCCAAGTCCCATGGACGGCCTCTTTCTTTCAGGTCAGCAAACACCTGCGAGGTGAAGTTGGTCTCCTCTTCACTAACCGCACCAAGGACGAGGTGGACGAGTGAGTACGCGTGTGTCGCAACCACGGTTTTGAAATGCAGAGCAGCCTTCCCCTGCCCCAAATTTGACTACTTCACTTGCCAGTGTTTCTCTCAAAGCAGCGATGGTCTCGTGAGGCTTTTCAGCTCGTCTTTCTCCACCATCGCTGCAACAGTGGGGAAGAACTTACGGCAGGCTCTGCCATAATCCCCGTCAGCCCAAGGGATGTTCTTTCTGTGGCTAAAGCTCTTGTCGCCCATCTCTGTCTCAGGTGGTTCTCCAAATTCAAAGAGGTGGACTTTGCCCGTGCAGGGAACAAGGCGACGTACGCGGTGAGCCTGGACACAGGGCCCTTAGAGCAGTTCCCCCACTCCATGGAGCCTCAGTTACGGCAGCTGGGATTGCCAACGGCATTAAAGAAAGGTACGTGAAGCAGCTGAGAAGGTCAACTTCATTTTTTGTCTGCGCAGATTCTCTTTTAAGGAGCATGTTAAATAATTGAGTAGGATTTAGTTTTGGAGAAAATCTGATGGACAACTTTCTCCTTGTTCGGCTGGTGCTAGAACTCGTTACATACTTCTTGCGCCATTCTTCCCAAACGGATGTCAAAAGACGAGTGAAACAGCCAACTTTCTATCAGATACCATCCTTTTTCAGTGGGAACAACTAGGCCCAGCCTCACCCAGCGCATTGGCATCCCATTCGGAAACCAGATGTGGGGTTTGGGTGTTTTTTTTTTCTTTAGAGTTGATCTCGCCCAGCTTCTTGGGGTGTGCTAATACTTGCACGGAAGGCATAAGATACAAAAGGTGGTGTTTGAGAAAGTCTTAGCTCTGCACCCCACGTTTCGGTGGGCTTGTCCAGTATTTGTGAGCCCATTTCAAGAGCTTCTGTTCCTGCAGGAGTGGTGACGCTACTTTCGGATTATGAAGTCTGCAAAGAAGGGGACGTTCTCACCCCCGAACAAGCCCGCATCCTGGTGAGTAACGTAATGCAGCGTCTGCGCGAGCCCCTGCTTCCCCCCGATACAAAAATAATCAACTCTTCAGCTGAATTACGCTGGAGGGTGCGAGTTCTCAGACAAAGGTGAGCAGTCCTTCTGGCTGTCAGCCAGCAAACATCCTTATGCATTCCTAACACGAGTGCTAAAACTCTGCAGTGATTATTTTGGCTCCTGCTTTGCTGTGGTTTCCATCTGGAAGTGTTATTTACCGTAAGTGTTTTTGCTAGGCCGTGGCGCATGAATGACGGATCTGTGTCCTTTCCTAGAAACTCTTTGGCTACGAGATGGCGGAGTTTAAAGTCACCATCAAATTTCTGTGGAATTCTGAGACGGGAGACTTCCAGAAGCTTGTGGGAGACACGGCAGAGGAGGACGAAGAGGAGGATGAGGATGACAACGATGAAGACAGCAATGAGGACTAGCGGCAGTCCTAGTGCTTGGACTCTAGACAGAAATACTCGATTTGAGAGACAAAGAGAGGATGCTGCCCTTCCCTGTTTGCACCCAGGGGACAAGGGCGATCAGTTCAAACACGCTCTTCATAAAAGATGACCTAATTATGCTTTTTTTTAATATAAATCTATATATAAAATTTCAGATAGTTGTCGCTGCTGCCTGTTACTGTTTGAGTACCCTGGGATCTGAGGAGATGCCACCTCAAACATGAAAGCTAGGCAGAAAGCGTGTAAGCGTAATGCGACTAAGACATGGCACACCTGACACCCAGGAGGATGCTGAGGGCTGTTCTTATCTTCTGGTAAAGGCTTCAGAAGAAGCTATTTAGCTCAAAGTCACTGAGTGGTGATAAGGAGATGCCAGCCAGGTTATAAGTACAGTTAAGAGATAGGGTCTGCGTTAGAAAAAGGTTTTATTCTTGTACGTAATTATTTCAGAGCATATTAAAGCAGAACTGGGGCCTTCATCCAGTTATGCGTCCGTTTTCCCCATCAACTGCATCTTTAAATCATAGTGGGTGCTGTGTCGTGCTGAAGGTCCATGAGGGGAGAAAGAATAAGGCACGGCCCAACACAACCAGTGCCAACAGTGGTAGTGGATCCTACAAAACTTCATTAATACAGGGAAAAATCCCAACCCATTTACACGTTGATCAAAGGGGTGGGGTGGGTAAGTACCTCTCCCGTGCTGCGAGAGACTTTTGCTCGATTATCCACCCCCACGATGCCCGCTTCCTTGTCCCTACCCTAGGCTCTAGCGGAAATAGTTGGGGCAGTCGTGTGCAGTCAGGTTCCAGGCTTTATCGAACGCCTCCGTGACAGCTGGGAGCAGGGGACCCTCTTCACTGTAGTCAAGGTTCTGCTCTAGCTGCTCCAAGTTGGACATCCCAATGATCACTGCGTCCCCAAGAGAACCCTGGAAAGTGATAAGAGGAGTTGCTGATTCTGAAAGAAACCTAGTTCACCTCCCAAGCCACTGCAGGCCAAACCTTAAACGTTTCTTTCCAGTAAAGAACATCCAGTAACTCCTGGATGTTTAGACAATTGACACCACAAAGTTTGGCTCACGAGGCCAGTACCTCTCCAAGTCATGCCAATTCCTCGAAAGCCGCCAAATCCTACTTTATGGGGGACTAGGGGAACATGTTGGGGAGATGGGGAATATAACCATTAATTTCCCAGTCTGATGAAAAGCTAAGTCGTCTCCTCGCAGGGAAGCTGTCTGGGTGGGAAGCCAAGACCCCAATAACTGACACTTCAAATCTTCCATTTCTGCCAACGCTACAGGCACAGGCCGTGGGGAAACGCAGAGCTCACTCGCTCCTACAGCCTGGCAGGCAGAGTCCGTACGGCACTATTCGCTTCGGAACGCCACCAGCCCACGGCACACGTAGATGAAAAGATAACTGTTTGTACAGAGATGTTTCCCCCTTTGCATGCCGCAACAGCTGCCCGATTCTGGCAGTGCGGCACAGGCTGCCGGCTACAGCCGTGTCCAGCTCTTACCTGCAGTTTGGAGTGATTGTACAGCCAACGCAAAGCAGCGGAGGTCAGGCTTGGCGCGTTGGAACCGTAAGCATCTTTCAGAGCTCTTTCTACTAGGGCAATTCCTTCAAAATTGTGCTTTTTCCAGTACCTGCAAGAAAAGAAATCGCTCTTATTGCCCTTGGGACCTCTAGTGAATGGTACATCTACATTCCAATCAAGTACGAAAGGCTTTCAGGAAGCCTCTCACAGCTCTTCGTAGCCTCTGAGGACTTCTGCAATCCCCCACTGCAAGCCAGGAGGAAGCTGAGCATAAAAACCACTCTGCAAAGCTCAGTCACAAGCCACGGCCCCAACCACATGTGCAGACGAAACTACTGCACAAGCTTTGGTCAATTCTGCTTCCTCTCAGCTGATTATTAGCGTGGGGGGTTTTTTATGTAGCTACTCCTGCTGCATCTCCCTGCCCGTCTATCAGCTCAAAATGTACCTGTCCCTGTAGGCTTGAGCCCAGTCATTCCCAAAAAACCTTCCCGTGGGCTGGCGTGTGTCTTTGTCCTCATACTTGTACTTGCCGGTCAGCAGCCCTCCTGCAAAGGGTCAGCAGCATGTTTAGTGGCGGGCTGGCTCTTCTACAGCCCCCATTTCGCATGTTTTTGTCTCAAAGTGTCGCCTTTTCCCTCCCCGTACCTGCCAGCGGATTGTAGGCGTAGAACCGCAGTCCGTAGTGTCTCAGGCAAGGGAACAGCTCGGCTTCCACCTGGCGAGTGGTTGCATTGTACATACCCTGCACAAAGACGAGGGAGACAAAGAACTTCAAACGCCAGCTCACCACAGTGGTCACGAGCACCTGGGACAGCCTTTTCCCCACCCTTCCCTGACAACGCTCTTGTCTTATCCAGAAGAGCAGTCTCAGGTCACACAAGGCTATTATCTGCTTAGGAACAGACTTTCTAAAGGACTGCAAGTAATGCAAAAACTTTTAAATTCCACATCACGGGAGTCACTGACTCAATCAACAAACGCGTGCTCAGCTTTTTCCGAGAAGTGATCTCGCTCAGCTTTCCAATCATGCATGTCCTGAAGGGACTTCCCAGACTAACTGGAGCACACTTTTCTTTTCTGTGCTTCTATCTGGCACACTGGGGACTGGTCCAAAGATTTGGGGCTCCCCAGACCCTTCCCCACAGTGCCTGACCATGGCTGTAAGGACGCAGAAAACCAGCCGTATGCTGTTCTGATCTAAAGCCTTGTATTCTTTTGGTTTGATTCATCTCGGGCCTCCACAAAAGATTTGCCAGACCACAACAAGACCCCCTCCCTCACCTGGTACACAGTCGGCATCACCCAGTTGTTGTATTTGCAGATGGTGCAAATTTCTGCAACCTCCCACGCTGAGTAGTTTGATAGACCAAGTTCTTTAAACTTTCCCTGCAGAGGAATAAAAGGGTACTCAATTCCTTTAAAAGTGCATTTGTACCTAGACAGTGCCAGATGCATACGGTGAGAAGGACGGTCGCCAAATTCTATCCCAGAGTTCTTTCCTCATCCCTTTTCACCTCTTCTAGATAACTATGAATTACAAGACCTGACAAAAATATTTCCAATTTTCTGTTCATTTTGAATTCACGCCTTCTAATTGAAATGGCGCTACTGGATTAATGCAATTCAGGAATCCTTCACCCATTACCGGCACTAATCCTAACCTAGTTAGTTAACACAGCTGAAAGCAAAGTTCAGAGGTTCTAACATTTCTAAGAGCTTTTGAGAACAAAGTGCACCACGTGAACACGCAACAGAGTGTCAGCTGTTTGGCTTTGCCCTGGTCATCCGTGTCCCCTCTTCCTAGTGTTGCACAAACGCGGCGCTGCAGAATGGCACAACGAGCAGCCCTGGTTTAAAAAGGTGATGGGAGGGAATCAAGAGATGGTCCAGGCTCGGACTTCCCACTTTACTTCTTTGTGCAGCTCATTGCAGGCACGCAGCGTCTCCTCCACTGGGGTCCCATGGTCAGGAGCATGGAGGTAGAAGAGCTCCACACTCGTCCTCTTCAGCCTCTCCAGGGACGTGTCCAGCTGCGAGCGCACACTCTCAGGCTTCAGCGTCTTCCCATCCCAGGGATTGGCCTTGGTGGCAACTTCCACTGGCAGAGAGAAAGAAAGAATGAGCAGGGACGTTTCCACCTTCAGGAAGGGAAAGGGGACAAGGGGCAGAACGCAAGCATTGCTCAAGGGAAGGCCCTTCTCCTCAGGAACCATGTCTGCCTAGCAGGAGGAGCCCTTCTCCTTAGGGACTGCAGGTCTGCCCTAGAGAGAGAGGCCTTTCTCCCCAAGGCCCGGGGGTCAGCACTAGGAGGGGAGTCCCTTCTCCTCAGGGACAGCATCAGCCTGGCCGAGCAGACTCGTCTCCTCAGGGAAGGGGCTCAGGGCAATGCCATTCTCCTCAGGGACTGTGTCAGCCTGGCAGGGAAGACCCTTTTCCTCAGGGAACAGGCCTGGGGGAAGTCCCTTCTCCTCAGGGAGCGTGTCAGCCTGGCAGAGCAGACAATTCTCCTCCAGGAATGGGCTTGGGGTGATGCCCTTCTCCTCAGTGATGGTGTCAGCCTGGCAGGGAAGGCCCTTCTCCTCAGGGAACAGGCCTGGGGGAATGCCCTTCTCCTCAGGGACACCATCAGCCTGGCAGGGAAGGCCCTTCTCCTCAGGGAAGGGGCTCAGGGCAATGCCCTTCTCCTCAGGGATGGCATCAGCCTGGCAGAGCAGACCCTTCTCCTCAGGGAAGGGGCTCAGGGCAACGCCCTTCTCCTCAGGGATGGTGTCAGCCTGGCGGGGAAGACCCTTCTCCTCAGAGAGCGTGTCAGCCTGGCAGAGCAGACAATTCTCCTCTGGGAACGGGCCTGGGGCAATGCCCTTCTCACTTCTCCTCAGGGACACCATCAGCCTGGCAGGGAAGGCCCTTCTCCTCAGGGAATGGGGTTGGGGGAATGCCCTTCTCCTCAGGGACACCATCAGCCTGGCAGGGAAGGCCCTTCTCCTCAGGGAATGGGGTTGGGGGAATGCCCTTCTCCTCAGGGACACCATCAGCCTGGCAGGGAAGGCCCTTCTCCTCAGGGAAGGGGCTCAGGGCAATGGCCTTCTGCTCAGGGACGCGGTCAGCCTGGCAGAGCAGACAATTCTCCTCCGGGAATGGGCTCGGGGCAATGCCCTTCTTCTGATGGTGTCAGCCTGGCAGGGAAGGCCCTTATCCTCAGGGAACGGGGTCGGGGCAATGTCCTTCTCCTCAGGGATACCATCAGCCTGGCAGAGCAGACCCCTGTCCTCAGGGAAGGGGCTCAGGGCAATGCCCTTCTCCTCAGGGACGGCATCAGCCTGGCAACAGACCCTTCTCCTCAGGCAACAGGCTTGGGGTAATGCCCTTCTCCTCAGGGACACCATCAGCCTGGCGGGGACAGCCATTCTCCTCAGGGAACGGGGTCGGGGCAATGCCCTTCTTCTCAGTGACGGTGTCAGCCTGGCAGGGAAGGCCCTTATCCTCAGGGAACAGGCTTGGGGCAATGCCCTTCCCCTCAGGGACGGCGTCAGCCTGGCAACAGACCCTTCTCCTCAGGCAACGGGCTTGGGGGAATGCCCTTCTGCTCAGGGACGCTGTCAGCCTGGCAGGGAAGGCCCTTCTCCTCAGGGATGACTCCCCTCCTCAGAGACTGCCCCCCGCCAGCCCCACCGCGACCCGTCC